CCTCAGATGATTTGTGTTGTGATTCGGTGCCTTACAAATAAAACTGAATTTAAGAAGACTGTAGTTAATTTAACTAGACAGTTCTACACTTATTTACCTGAGAGGTGACAGCACACTTGGTGAAAGATGGCAGGAAACCACCTGAAACAGTTCATCTGACTGCGACTTTTCACCTGGACAACAACTTACAACGTGGGACACAGTGACACCTAGTGGTGGTTTGACTGTAACGAAGGTGACAGGCTCAGTTTGAACTGTAGCAACTCGGCAGCACATCTGTGTCTTGTTCAGAGATTTCAACTAGTCAGGAACATTAAGGTGCTGTTCAGCTCATGAAGGAGCAGCAGCCTCATTAGGAATAATGTCAGACATTTGCTAAACAGACACAAGTCTTTGTATTTGCAGGAATTTTAATCAAACCTCAGATCCTCATGATTAATGGTATCTGTTATACATTTATAATAAAGTTGCACTAGAAAACTAAACCAGTGAAGCTTTCACATCTTAAAAACATGTACACAGAGCTTCTGATAGTGCATGTTGTTTACATGCTTTAGCAGATTAATCGACATCCACAGCAGATAATTTCCAAATAGATTTTCTTAAAGCTGTAATTTCAACAATAATCATATAGTTTTTAAAGTTTTGGTCACGTTCTGTGAATGAATAGATATTTTTACAAAAGAAAGCTACAATATAATTGACTGTGATTGTCAGTGTTTACTTCTCCTTGGGAGACACTGCATGTCGACAACAACAGGCGCTCAAAGATTCTCATGGCACCTGATGGCTAATGGGCAGCGTCACAAGGCACACGTCTACGTTTTTAAATCCATAGTATAGACATCGTTGTACACAGACTGGTTAAGGATACGACAGTGTCTCCCATAAAACGGTCACAATTTAAAAAGAGGTTTTCTGCTAATGAGCCGACTGGCTTTTGTTGGTAAGATGTAGAATACGTATACAGGATGCCAGTAAATAGTTTTACGCACCATTTTTGTTTTTAGTCGCCCAGACTTAGCAAAGGTGGAGTTGATTCATTTCAGAAGCATCTTGGTTGTGGATCAGGGCCGGTGTGAAAATACACATAATATCATAAAATAAATGTAGGCTTCATCAATAATATCCAAACACTCGGTGATGATTTAGGTGTGTGTCTTTGTCTGGTCCTCACCTTCACAGGACTGTTTGAGGGCTCAGGTTAGAATCAGGTTTAGGTTAGGGTTGTGATAAGGTTTGGAGGTAGACGTAGTTAAGGTTGGCGTCAGCGTCTAGGGGAAGCATAATGCCAATGAGTGTCCTCCCAACTATAGTAAGACATGACTGTGTGTGTGT